CAAGAAACAAGGAGTCATTCAATACAAGTTGGAGAAGATAACAAATATAGCACGTCAGAAATTGTAATCCCCGTTTCAAAAAATGTTAATGTTATAAGTCCACCTCAAAGGTTTCTCTTATAAACTTCTAGATACAGTAGAATGTGAATATTCCTGAACAAAACGTGTTTTATATAAAGTAAAAAACTTATACATAGGCGATTGAACTCGAAAAATATTTCTTCTCTTTGAACTGCTATCAAATCATTATTATTATATTATGTTATGTTATTATTATACGTTATCCGATATCAAATGATTCAAATCATTATTATTATGTTATTTAATACTAGGTCACATTCATATAAAATAAAATTTTAATACACAATAGAAGTCCAAAAAGTGGATGATTAAACTCGAATGCTATTGCTTGTCTTTAAATCATATCAAATCATCAATTTTGTACTTTTCATGCTAAGGTAACCTTGCACTAATATTTGAGGTGACTTTTACACTAATTTGAAACGAATCTTGCACAAATTGAAAATTATCTCCAATTGGACCGCGCTGGGGCCATAAAGAGACATGATGAGTGTGTTTTACTCACGAATTTAAGCAAATTTTAACTTGATTGTAAGTTAGATTTTACGAGCATGGAACGTTTTTATGTGTTTGTTAAATTTGTTTTATAGGTTTATCGAGATGGTGAAGGATACAAGAAATATCATTAATTGAAGTTAGTGGCATGGATGGAAAAGAAGTTGTGGATAAAGGGACAAAATAGGCAAAGTAAAAGTGCCGGATGAGTGGCAACAAAGCACCAAAAGCAAGAAGAAAATAGATTGTGGGTGCTGCGGTGCCACATTCAAGGCGCTCTGATGCCCCACTATACCTGAACCTAGGCACCGTGACGTCGAGAGCATCAGAGAGGTGGTGCTGCAGTGCCACCTCGTGTATTGACGCGGCGCCGTCTATCCATAACCTAAGCGAAATTTCAGCCCATTTTGGTGTCCAGATGAAAACCCTACCTTCTACATACGACAAGACACATATAAAAGCAATTTTTTCTCACACTTTAAGAGGACTCACACATTGAGAGACAAGAGAACATAATTAGAGAATCAAAAGAGGAATTCAAAAGAGGAAAACATCAAGCAATTGAAAGTTTAACACATTGATTGAAAAATGAAGGATATCTTGGTACAAGATGCATTCTAAAATAATTGATTGCTTTCTTCTTTCATTATGAATAGTTAAATTCATTGTTAGGGCGAATAATGTAATTAATTGGGATCTTTTATATTTTCTTATTAAAACTCTTGGTTTTTACTGTTTCATGTGTTGATTTTACTATGAAGTGAATGCATTAAATTACTTGATCAATAATTTGATAATTTTGTGAACCCTTTACGAATAGAGATAAGAGTTTAGTATTTAGACCATATAGTAAAATTCGGCAAATTAGTATAAGGAGTAGAGATATCTATACTCATTGCTGCGGTCATAATTGAATTCCAAGGACAAAGAACTCGTTTAACTAAATTGAATTTGCATAGAGATATGGAATTGAATTAGTTAAATAGGTTCAACAAGAATTCGACCGAACACTATATTAGATGTAAATATTAATTTGGGATATAAAGGTGATCAATATGTGAAGTTATTTTGCTCCAATGTCCATTTATTATTTGATTTTCAAACCAATTGTGTATGCATCCATTTATTTTCTAGCATTTAGATTAAAACCCAAATCCTACAACTTTTTATTTGTTTTCATCAAATAGTGGTTAAAGAAAAATTGAATTAAGTGCAAGAATATAGTCCTTGTGGGATCGACAACCTGAACTCTTAGGTCCACTATTACTTGTTATGGTTTGTACACTTGAGGAAATAAAATTGACAGTAAGGCGAGATAAGACTAGCAACAGTCTTGAAGCATCTAAAAATGTCGATCAAGAATATGAAATGGCACAATCCTCATAGTCTCAATTTGACAACAAAGAATATGATATCAATCACGAGATCAAGTACAAGAAGGATTACGGCTGAGAGAGAGCAAGAGGAAGAGGGCTGAGGACCCAATTAAAGCGAGGTCACTCAAGTCCCCACTACATATGAGTGTATGGATACCTTAATGTACAAAAAAAAATTATGTACAAGTAGGTTTATTCGTTTGTTTAATGGAAGTTTTTTAGCATTAGGAATTTTCTGTGTAAAATAGTTTGAATCATGTAATTCAAAAGACCCCATGTGTTATGCTAAATCGTAAGGGCAGAATTGTGAAGGAAAAACAAAATGCAGTTAGAAATATCTTAGATAAAATTAATAATTTGGATGTGATCTTGATCTAATCATTTAGGGGATCCCTTTCTCACTTCTAAAATTACATCATATAATAAAATCTGTCAAGAAACAAGGAGTCATTCAATACAAGTTGGAGAAGATAACAAATATAGCACGTCAGAAATTGTAATCCCCGTTTCAAAAAATGTTAATGTTATAAGTCCACCTCAAAGGTTTCTCTTATAAACTTCTAGATACAGTAGAATGTGAATATTCCTGAACAAAACGTGTTTTATATAAAGTAAAAAACTTATACATAGGCGATTGAACTCGAAAAATATTTCTTCTCTTTGAACTGCTATCAAATCATTATTATTATATTATGTTATGTTATTATTATACGTTATCCGATATCAAATGATTCAAATCATTATTATTATGTTATTTAATACTAGGTCACATTCATATAAAATAAAATTTTAATACACAATAGAAGTCCAAAAAGTGGATGATTAAACTCGAATGCTATTGCTTGTCTTTAAATCATATCAAATCATCAATTTTGTACTTTTCATGCTAAGGTAACCTTGCACTAATATTTGAGGTGACTTTTACACTAATTTGAAACGAATCTTGCACAAATTGAAAATTATCTCCAATTCATTACACCAAAATTTACATCAAATGAATAGTGTTTAATTATTTTCTTCATTTTTCTGATTCTTAACAATTTATTAGTTTATTTATTTTGCAACTACATAAATGACTAAATAAATACTTCGTTAAATTAACAAAAATATTGAATTCATTGATAAATGTTAAAAAAAGGACCAAATAATTAAAGAATAAGAAAATATGAGCAATTCGAAAATAATGGATCACAATAAAAATAAGATTTAAGTAAAAATCCAAATATGGTAAAACCATGGGTAGATGCAGATAATTCACTATAATTAATAGTAATAAGTTATGAAGGATCTCTTGTGAATTAAATTCAAGACCTAGTTACAAGCTAAACTACCTTGTGAATTAAGCTCACAATTTACAAATGAATGATAAATCGATTATTCAATTTTGTTATACTTAAAATATTTTTTATTATTATTATAACATACACATGAATATCTCGTTACGATCTTATTCCTAAATTAAAATAATAAATTATTTATATAATTCTTATTATGCATTCCAACATTTTTCGTACAACAAACATCAATTTAAGGTTCAAGCTTTAAATTGAATACCTAAAAAAATATCCACATCAACTGAAGGTTCAACTTTTAATGTCAGTGCCTATAAAAATCTCCAGTATATACATGATATGGTGAAAAACATGTGGTTTAAGCAAAGGATTGTAGGGTACAAGAACAGTTGGCTACAAACGGACTTTTTCATTACATTCCTGATAACCGACATTATTGTTTTCCCCCCTCACTGGTGGGATCTACTATTCACAATAATGTCAAATGTTATAACTATAACTTATATGATAGCCATTGAGACAATAATGTTAAATGATATAACTTATAAGATAACATGAGCCTAACAATGGTTCCATCAGAATTTCAGGAAGAGGGCCTAAAATTGTTGACGGAAGTTTAAATAATAAGAGATGAAGTATATCAATATTGGATAGGGATGGTTGTTCTTCTAAATTGAATAAAAGAATGATAAAATACAATCTTTGTTTTATGGCCCTTGGATTTGACTCTATCAAATAATTTTATTTTATTTTTTTTGATTTATTAATTACTCTAGCATACACTTATATATAGGCACGATGGAAGAATTTTACGTACACAAATCCAAATATTCACTTACGGTATGCATGCATTATTGTCAATCAATACACTTTCATCGAAGAAGAGAAAAGAATTTTGGCATGAACAATTATATTTCATTTTATTTAGTATGATAAGATACATTGTGTGCAAGTATTTTCATTTCCTTATGTTTTTATATTCAATTAAATATGCATGGATTGTCAATGGACTTTCGGGTTCTTCTGAAGAGAAATGTAATCTTAAAGAATTAAAGAGGACCTAAGATAGGTGTATCGCTTGATCACCGATATACTCTAGAAGAGCAAAGTGGTATGAAGTGTAGATTTTATTTGTTATATAATTCTGAAGAGAGATGAAATCTTACTAGATGTTTTCGAATACTCACTCTTATGAATTTTTTTTCAGGTTAATTTGGGTCGATTGGAACTGTGACGAATTGGTGACGTGGGTTGCCAAGGGGATCTAAGGAAAAAGGAAAATTAAATGTTTAGTTAGTTTTTTTTTTCATATCTCTAAATTTAATTATTAGTTTTATTTGCTCAAAGATTCGTTTGTTTAATTAGTCCATTGATTGTGCTTAATATTTTAGAAACTTAGATCTCGCATCTAAATTGATATTTATGGTTGAAAATAAAGAATTTCTTTTTATTTGAGACGTTCCGCAATTAATAAAAAAAAAATTGAGTTTTTCTTAACACTCTGACGTATAAAAAAAATTTGTGGTGTTACAAAATGAATAGTGTTTAATCATTTTATTCATTTTTCTGATTTCTGATTCTTAATAATTTATTTATTTTAGAACTGCATAAATTACTAAATAAATACTTATGTCAAATTAACAAAAATATTGAATTCATTAATAAATTTAAAAAATATAATATATTTATTAGAAATACCACATAAGAAAATAATCGATCGTATTTGTTACATTTTCAAACTTTTTGAAGACTTTTATTTTATTTCATTCATTACATTATTAAAATTTATTGTACGACAACCAACTTCAGATAATAATGGTACAATGTCCAAAGATACTAGAACACCAAGGGATAGAGGACACAAAACGTTCAAGGAACCACTAAGAAAGCATCTTATTCTAAGCAAAGATTAGCTTCTCTCGCACAGCCACATCTCGCACGGTCCATTACCTTTTTAGCACCGGAGACTGTCACAACACCTGAAAGTTCACGAATGACAGCTCCAACACCAATGAAAAAACCAGAATCAGACGCATCTGTGTTAAGCTCAAACTTCAAGGTGCTTCGCAGGACGTTGCCAAGATTCACTTCAAACAAATAAAATAACAAACATCGACTTTAGGCAACAGAAGAGGCACTATTTGTGCCTGAATATTTATATATTCTGGTACGGTAACACCGGGATGCTTTGTTCATTTCTAAAGAAATTGTCCGGATCCACCTTTGTCTTAATCTTAACCAATCTATGGAAATTATCTTTGAAATACTTGATCCCATAAACTGCACCTTCTAAGTAACTGTTTTTCCCATTGTGGCTAATGCCCAAATCAAGATCTCTGTAATTGAGAAATGATCCCCTTGGCGACTTGGAGACGAAAGGAGTCATATAAGCATATAATTTTCTTGTCAATTCTATGTATTTTTCCGCAGCTTCAACGCCGTTTTCTTCCCAGTTTGTCGCATACTGAAGCTTGAATAGATTTCCAGCTCTGTGTGGAAAAGGTTTTTCTGACGGTGGAATCTCAGCCATTCTTCCTCCAAGGGGATTGAAAGTAAGCATTACACTTTCCACTTCTATCATCTTCTTGAATATGAACTCTAAACCCTGTTTTGGAATAGGGTTTGTTATGTAATCGGATTTCCTCTTCAGGTGGGTTAATACTTGAGGTACCCTACTGAGAAGAACGTTAACCGGAGTTCCAGCAGGAAAGTTGGTCCAGTAAACAACAGATTCAGCCCAACTCATTTCGATACAGTCGGATGGTGTCAATCCCAGTTCTGGAAAAGCTTCATTCATGAGAGAAAGAAGTTTTTCGGAATCTCCAAGGAACAAGGTCCAGAATGTTGCTCTATTGGTTTTTTCTCCAGTTCGCACACTACTGTTCACGACATCAAGTGACATTCTGATGAAGAGTTCTTCAGGCAACTTGTGCGCAACTTGTTGGTAACGGTAAACGATGTTAGTTAAGTTTTCTTCGTAAGTTCTTGCGACTCGAAAAACAATAACTGTAGTGGGGACTCGAACGAGCTTGATTTTGTATGCTAGAACAACTCCAAAGCTGGATCCACCACCTCCAGTAATTGCCCAGAACAAATCTCCTCCCATTGATGCACGGTCAAGAATCCGGCCATTAACGTCAATTATTTGTGCATCTATAATATTGTCAATGGAAAGGCCGTATTTTCTCATCAGGTTACCGTATCCGCCACCACCGAAATGGCCGCCAAATCCAACTGTCGGGCAAACTCCGGCGGGGAAGCCATGAACATTACTTTTCTCTGCTATTCTGTAGAAAACTTCACCAAGAGTTGCTCCAGTTTCAACCCATGCAGTTTCATTTTCTATGTTGACATTGATGGATCGAAAGTTGAACATATCAAGAATGAAAAAAGGAACATCCGAAGCATACGAGACACCTTCATAATCATGGCCTCCACTGCGGATTTTCATTTGCAGGCCATGCATTTTTGCGCTAACAATGGCTGCTTGGATGTGAGAAACATGCAATGCTGTCAGAATCAGTTGTGGTTTTGGGGTTGTAGACTCATTGAACCGCAAGTTTCGTATGTAAGATTGCAATACAGAAGAGTATGAAGAATTTTCAGGAGTATACAATACTGCAGAAATTGGATTAGAGAGCTCAGAATGGCTCTGAAGGCATTCAAGAAAACCCTCAAGAGATGATGAATTATTTGCAGTGGCCCATACAACAGAACCCATTTTTTTTGGGCGAAGGGAAATGCTATAAGGGCAGAACGTATATAGACAAGTGTTGGTAGAAAACGTGTCATCTACGTGAGTGTAAGTGTTATGTCATAGGTCCAATCAACGTTGAACATAAATACTATTAATATATAATTAATACAATTTAATGACAAATTTATTATTTAATTAATATACAATTAAATTAAATAATGGAGTTCGTAGATTCAAATCTTGGCAATTTGTTAATCACAAGGAGTTGCGATTGCGGGATACAAATTATATATGATTGAATCCTAAATCGTCCATGGTCTTAAGTAATAACGAGATATGGATATCGTTATTACGGATAGACCATTACGTATGACATTTCTTACTTGTGAAATAAGTAGCTGATCTCACAAACTAAAGTTTTGTGACACTTGAATAAATATGTGAATGCTTTGTTATAGAACAAAATATTGGAGACCCACCTAAAGATTCCACATGGATAACAATCTAAGTGTCAATGGTTAATCTCTAACGTTCAGTAGTGGGATTGGTCCTTTGACTTGAGGTCGTCATAGTACTTTATATGAGGACATTCATGTTTTGACGGTGTTGGATGTTGCTTTGTCAAGGGCCACTAATACGGCATCGTTTAGGTATGTCTAAAATCGTATGAATGTTGTGAATGACCAATAGAGGATTCTTCACTCTTAGATAGTAAGAGATTATAATCTGCATTTCATTCAATTAAGTCGACAATGAAATCCTTGGACAATGTATACTCGTAATTCGAAAAGGAGTTTTCGACTTATATTAACTTAATAGTAGAGTGAAAGATATGATCGATAATCGAGATTGACACACTTTCATTTCTCATAATTGATGGATCATATTGACGAAAGGATTAAAGTTTCAAGATAAACGAACGAGTTTGGTTTTGTCATACCACGTGACATTTTCCATCACATGTATTGCCCTGACACATTGCTAGATGTCAATCTAGAACAGTGAGTGTAAATTGGTGATAAATTAAAAGGGCATTTTGATTTATCAATTTTGATTAAATCAAAATAATATTTCATGTCGTTAGGTATCGTGATAGGGAATCTGATGGGTCACAAACAAAAGAGAACTGAAAGATTGTGATTTATCAATTAATTAATTTAACAAGTATTGGATAAATTAATTAATTGAGCTGGGTATTTATAGACTCGAATTAATTAATTAGATTAATTAATTCACGGATTGGATTTAATAAAATGGGTTAATTAAATATTGGACCCGACCAGGCCAAGTCCGTTTAGGCTTATATAAATGTGACTAGGGTTTTCAAAATCTGTAGAGAATTTTATTATTCTTGCTAGCACAAGAAGAAAATCATAATCCTACAATCTTGTTCTCTGTGTGGATCACCGTTGGAAGCTAGACAATTGGACAGCTGTTGGTGGCGAATCAAAATCATTGGAATGAAAGAATAGCAAAGGAGTTTGCAGATCTCGTAAAAGAGTACAATCTTTATCAGAGTTTCTATTTAAGCACAAAGACGATTCTTGGTGGGAATTGAAAAATTGTTTTATTTCCACTACGCATGATAAGTAGATTCTCAACAGTGGTATCAGAGCATACTTTGTATTTGCTAGAAATTGTTTAATATTTCGCGCAATCAAAAGTTGATTGTTATCCTTTTTTTCATGTTTCTATAGGCTGTGAGTGGTGGTAGCCGCGACGGCTGCGCGCCGCCGCAGCTACTGTTCGAGCTGCTGAAGCGGTAGGAGCCGTGCGACTCTTGCTGTAGGTCATCTTTGCAACCATTTCCAATTGGGTGAAGTTTCATTAGGGTTTTCAGTTGATTTGGGGTGAAATGAGACGGGGCCTTTCTACAATTTATGAAATTTTAGGGGTCCTTCTACAATTATATGATAAGGGTCAGTTTGTAAATTTTAAATGGAGGGGCTCTTATGCAATTTCAATATATGAGGGCTATGTTAATAAATTTTGATTGGGTCAAATTGCAATTTCTAAAATGGTTTTGAATTTGAATTTGAATTTTAAAATTGTTTTAAAATTTTATTTTAAATGGGTTCGACCCATAATTTTAATTTTGACTCAAATTAAAAGTTTTCTTTAAAATTGACGACTTTTTATATTTTCGTTAAAATATGATTTTGACTTAAATATTAAATTTGACCCTAAATTGAATTTTATTTTATTTAGGAGCGTTATCCTAAATTAAAATATTGATTCAATTTAAATTAGAGTTGGACTCTAATTTAATGCTTAATTAAATTTGATTTTAATTAATTGTTCACTCAAATATAAACTAGAAATTGGAGTTGGATTCTAATTCGATATTTAATTGAAATTTGATTTTAATTAAATAGTCTTGCCCTAAAATTTTTCTTAAAATTAGAGTTAGACTCTAATTTGGTGTTTAATTAAAATTTGAATTTAATTAAATAGGTTCACCCTAAAATCTTAAATTTAGAGTTGGACTCTAATATCTTATTTAATTAAAATTTGATTTTAATTAAAATAAGGTCGCCCTATAATCTTAGAATTAGAGTTTGACTCTAATTTTGTTATTTGATTAAAATTTGATTTTAATTAAATTCAACCGCCTTGAGTTTTGAAATTAGAGTTGGACTCTAATTTGATATTTAATTAAATTTTGATTTTAATTAAATAATCACGCCCTATAATTGTGGAATTAGAGTTGGACTTTAATTCGATATTTAATTAAAATTTGATTTTAGTTAAATATGTCCGCTAATTAAATTTATTGATTAATATGATTAATTAATTATTTAATTGTTCCGATCCATATGTTTAAAAGAGTTTAGACGATCTTAATTGCTAGAAATTTGAAACATGTTTGCATATAATATTAGATATTATATGAGAACACATTTATATGATAAATCCATTATTAGTGGATGATTATGGACTCGACCATATGGATGTGTTGAATGGTTAATTTTTAATCTTGTCGTTTTGTGGGCCTGCGAGCTCTTAATTGTTTTGGATCTGCGAGTCCGTTATTGTTATTATTATTGTTATGGGCTTATGATTCCAATTAAATTTAGGCCTGTGTACCAACTAATATAGGATACAAGTTGCAGCTAGACTTATTGAAGAAATAAGAAGATGAAGAGATCATGGAGATGGTGCATTGATATTGAATCAATACTATACTCCCTAGGAATTGACCAACTAGTCTTCCTTATGGCTCGGGAAGACTAGATAGTAAAAGCTCATAATCGTCCATACTATTATTATTATATTATATATATGTTTATTTGCATGATATATGTGTAATACAACATATATGATTGTTACGATGAGATTTTTGAATGCAAAACCCCTCAATAAAATATTAAGTCACATTTATAGTCGCCTTCCATTATTATAGTGAAAAATCAGATTCTCAAATCGTCTCAACTTATTGAGTACACTCAAGGCTAGTCTTTAGGGATATGTTTGACACTATGAAATCTTTGATATTTCTGAATGTCGGATTTGACTTAACTAAAATTTATCTTCTTGTTGAGTATACTTAAAGAGATAGATTTTAGAGGCATATTTAGCTAATACATAAGATGAGTGAAAACAAAGAGTTGTCGGCTTAATGATCCAAGAGTTGTATGGAGATACAATTGATAATAGTATCTACCAAAGTGTTTTATTAAGGCTTGTTGAATACACTCAAGGTCTTAATATAACAGATGGGATCCCAACCCACTAGGAGTCGAGTATAGACTCCATAAATTTATGTGAGAGGGTTATAAATTTGAATTAAATAGTTCGACCATAATTAATTTAATAAAAGTCCATGTTAAATTAATTGATGCATTTTATATATTATTCTTTTCTTTTTGTCATTTACATTTATATTGAATCTTGAGTAATCATATGTTTTGACTGGCATATTGGATGCCAACAACCAAATTAAATTTTCTTGATTAGCATCGCAACTTGAGAATTGTTCTCAGACATTAGAAAATTGGTTACGTCCTTAAGTAGTCCTTTCCAGAAACACCTGCTGATGACTCGATTAAGGAAGAGGTGACTACTGTAATAAACACAGTGATGACGATAGTACTGCACCTATGTGATGCTTGTAACTATGTGATCTGAGTTACAAAAGCGATTTGAGAGTATAGATGCTAACGCATGATTTTTCATATCAAAGAGTTGTATGATAATAATCATGTATAGAAGGATATGAGACTTTCAAGCAACTATACTGATGCAAAATGACAGATAAATCTTTAGTCAGTACTCGTGTATTGAAGATGATTGGCATTGAGAAGTAGTCTCAATTAGGTTCAATCATGAACTATGAACTAAGTATTGACTTAGTTTTGCAATCTCTGTCATAGAGTTATTCATACTAATTATAAATTATGATATGAATAAGCTTGAATGCATACTCATTAAGTTGCTTAACATGCTTAGGACTGTTAAGCCCGATATCAAATTTAGTAGTGGGCAAGCCATTGATTCTTCTAAGAGTATTAAGAGGAAGTCTAAAGGGGCTTTGGAGAAAGCATTCAATATGGCCGAGACAACAAAACGATGGACAAATACCAAGTCTAATGATCATTGTTTTCGTTATAGAATGAAAAGGTCATTGACAGAAATATTGCTAGGCTTACGTCTACTTCATAAGCTTCTTAGGTATTCGATACCAAATATGGATATGGAGAAACTAAATATAAGTAGACCACTGCAAGAGAGAGAAGTTGACCTCCACGTTGAAGATGAGCAAATGTTGCTGTATTGCCTATAGAAGCATACTTCTTGTAGCTGCTTTTTGGCTTAGTATTTGAATTAGAGAAATGTTGCTTTGTACCCATCATAGCTAGAACATTAAAATGAATTTCATGTTCAGACATGAACTATTTTAATATTAAGGATAATTGTTGTTTCATGCCTTTCTCGATTAAGATCTTTATGGTATAGTAAGCTACCAATAACATTTATATTCTAAATACTAAGCATTCTATAATGAGTATAGAAGTTAAAAGACATAAAAGTGATAATCTAAATAATACCTAAATTTGGCATTACAGATTTGGTCATATAGATGAAATGCGATTCCAATATTACATAGAGATGTATATGTGGA